GTGCATACGTGTGTATATGTGTGTTAGTTTGTGCGTGTGTTTGTTAGTGTGTGTGTGTGTGGGTTTGTGTGTTTGTGCGTTCACGAGGGTGTCCAAGTGTGTATGTGTGTGTCAGTGTGTGTAAGTGTGTATGTGTGTGAGTGTGCATAAGTGCGTATGTTTGTGAGTGTGTGTGCGTGTTTGTGCGTGTGTGTGTGTGTGTGTGTGTGCGTGTGTGTGCGTGTGTGTGCGTGCGTGTATGGACGTGTTTGAAGAAAGAGAGGATGTCTGGTGTTGTTTTACCTCGCACAAAAAACACGCCAAACACTTACACACATAGACACAACCATGTACACACACACACACACACACACACACACACACACACACACACACACTCACCACTCACACACACAGAAACACACACACACACACACACACACACATACACACACACACGAATGCATCAACAGTGTCTAATCTGAGAAACGAATCAGACTCCATTAACGTACAAATAACACTTAGGTCCTATTAACATTAATTAACATTGAGGCCCCATCTATACACCATTAACACCGATATCTCATATATTTCATTAACACAGGGGACCCATTTATACATCGTTACCCCATTTTTATACAATTAACACTGAGGCCCAATATATGCCATTAACTGTGTCGACCCATTTATACACCATAAACATTGAGACTCTATTTATATACCTTTATCATTGATGCCCTATTTGTACTACAGAAGCACTGATACTGCACCTTTATATGCTTTTATTAGCGTGGGCCCCATTTATACACCTTTAGCAATGAGGCCCCATTTATATGCATTTACCACTGGGGCCCCATTTATACACTATAAATACAGAAGTCCCATTTATAGACCATTAACATCGATGTCCCATTTATACACCATCAACACTGAAGATCACTGTATACACCTTTAACACTGAGGCCCCATTAACACAAAGGACCATAACATAACATAATTTTAACATTAATTTATTATTTCCACTCATCCCCTCCCATTGAGGCCTCATTAAGGCCAGGATTAGGCCCCCATTAAGGCCCCATTAAGGCCCATTAAGGCCCATTAAGGCACCATTAAGGCAACATAAAATAGGGGTCATAATTAAGGCCGCTCTAAGGCCCAATAGAATAGGGTGCCCTCATTAAGGCCTGTCCCCACAAGTTCCCATCCGACGTTGGTAGTTGTGCAGAAAGTGATCGAACTGTGTTTTCCAATCGACGATGTACCTCGTCTTCCAGGTATGGAACTCTGCCTTCCACTCACGCTCCGCCTCCGAGATGTCAGCTGTAGAGAGGTGAGTGGCGAGGATTTTTTTTTGGGG